ACTCCCAGGGACGCAGTGTCCCCGTCTGGCCGAGGTTGGGAACCACAGGCTTCAGGAGTCCCCGAGGTGGTGGCTGTGGCTGAGGAGGCTGTGGAGACTGGGCCCCCGGGCTGTGTGACAATTGACAGTCGACTCGGGGGTGCCTGGTTCTGCCTTGAGCCCGTGGCGCTTGGAGGCTGGCTCCCTGGGGGCTGCTTCCTCGTCCCCCTCAGCCTGCAGGGCCGAGTGTCCTTGCTGTGCTACTCTGAGGTCACTTGTTACTGGACTTCGGGGTGGCTCAGAAACTCCTCCTGTCCCCAGGTCCCCTCTGCATCGCAGAGACCCCTTTTCCACAGAGGGTCCTGCTGATCTGTTTGGGGACAAGGGCGTGGGCTATCTTTGGGGTCACCGTGCAGCCTGTGCAGAAGGATAGGAGGCCGTGGGAATTCCAGCTTTTATGGCACAACGTTAAGAATAAAAGATAAAGGAGGAGGAGGCCCCTTGAAACAGGAAACCTCAGAACTCCAGTTCCTCGCTGCTGCATTCTCCAGATGCACCCCCGCGTGACACTGTTTGGCCCTGCGACCGTGGCTGGGGATCCACCACATTTGGGGAGACCCCACTGTAAAGGAATCCACAGTAGAGAAGTTGCCAGGCAGGGTGAAAACAAAACTGAAAATAAACTTGCAGTTTTCTGCAGAGCCCTCTCCTCTGGCCACTCCTGCACCGATGCTTGACCCAAGGGTGCGCTGCCTGTGCACGCCCGGGCCCTGGGACAGATGGGTCCCCGCCAGCCACCCTCACGCGGCTTCGGCCCAAGGCTGCGTCTCTATGGAGGGAACGGCCAAGCGGGCTGGCCACGGTGGCGCGGGGCTGGGGGACCCGACGGGTCCGGCCCTCTGGAGCCTCGGTTTTCAGTAGTCTCAGCTGGGCGGGACAGCGGCTGCTTACAATCCTAGACCTCCCGGGGCTGATGCAGGAGGATCTTGGTGAGTTCAAGGCCAGCCTGGGCTACATCGCAAGACCCTGTCTCAAAAAACTAAAAAATACACACACGCACACACACGGGAGCCTCATCCTGAGAGGATGTCCCCAGGAAGCTGCCAGGGATGGGCCTCTCCGCACCGGCCAGCGGGCCTCACGGCTTGGGACTTCTGCTCTTGGCCAGGCACAGGCCCTGCGGGACCGGCTTCTCTCTCGCAGGGCCGCGGAATGGTCGAGGCCATCACGTGACAAGTCACTGGTCACGTGAGTCCGCCCCGTGCTGCTGCTGGACCAGACTCCAGCCTGGGGGAGCAGACTCAGCTGTGGCGGGCACCCCGCAGCCGTCCGGGAGGCAGGCTGGTTCTAGGCATGCATGTCGGGTGCAGCTGCCCTGGCCAGGCCCGGCAGCCAATGGTTTCCTGCTACAGAGGACGCGTGGCCGCACTTCCTGTCCCTCGGGAAGGGCTGATTGGCCCTCTGTGCACGGTCCTGGCTGCTTCCGGGCCCTCTGCGCATGCTCCCGAGCAGACGCTGGTGCAGACCGGGTCTTTCGGGCCGCACCTGCCAGGGCTTCGAGGCCGGGAACGTCAGTCACCGACAGGTGCACTCTGTTCTTTAAAGCTCTCTGCGTCAGTCCGTGTTTGTAGCACATAAGGATGGCACTCATCGTGGGGAGCTGGTGCATGTGCACAACACCTCTTAGTCCTTTTTTTTCCGGTACTGGGGATGGAACTCAGGACCTTGGGCTTGCAAGGCAGGTGGAGCACCACTGAGCTAAATCCCTGGCCCTTTTTACTTCCCCTTCTTCCCTTCATCTCTTGGTCCCATGTGCAACAGATCTGTCTCTGTTTCCTATTATTGGTTTCTTTTTTTGAGACAGTGTCTCACTTTGTAGTTCAGACTGGCCTTGAACTCACTGTGTAACCCAGGCTGGTCTCCAACTCATGATGATCCTCCTGCCTCAGCCTCCTGAGTGCTGGAATCACACATTTGTGCCACCAGGCCCATCTCCTATCTTTTATTTGGGGGAGCTCATTCTAAGTCCCTTTTCCCTGCGATTGACAAAATCTTCATTTCCTGGGAGTCTTACTCTTTGGCAGAACCAAACAACATGCATCTGATTCTCACATTTCAGGTACTGTCTTTTAAACATTTCTTTACTTCTTGCGGTGCTGGGGATGGAAGCCAGGCCTCACCTGTGCCAGGGAAGCCTTGGTCCACTGAGCCCCGCCCTGTAACTACCGTCTTCTTCCAACTTCTACCTGGCTGCTGGGGACCTGGAGGGGGCGCGCTGTGGTTTGAGCAGGGGAGCGTCCCACTTCTGGCCCTGGGGTCGGTGTTTTAAGAGCCCCTACCGTGTATCCACCACACGCGGGCAGGGCTATGTGTGACTTCAGCCGGCTGAACCACCAGCCCTGGCTTTCTACCATTCCGCCAGGAGCCTGGAGCTCTTGGCCCTAGAGTCGGTGTTGGGCGGGGCCTGGGGTGCCCTCAGGCTCCTGTTTTCCTTTCCTCCCTCCTGTCTGCCTCTGGGCCATTTTCCATGCATCCGGTGTTGGAGCCTTGGGATAAGCACTCTGGATCGGTCACCGCTGGAGCAAGGAAAACACAGGGCATTGCCAGCTGGCTTGGAGCCTGGTGGGGCCCAAGTGGTCACAGATGACCTAGGATGGGGCCTGTGGGGTAGCCTTGAGATTCATTTAGCAAACACTTAACTGGGGCCAACATCCCTGGCTTTCCCTGTGAGTGGACTCACTGCTCCTGGCCACCTAGGCAGGGGCCCCCGCTTTGGCTACAGGAGACCCATGTGGCCACGTGGCCGAGCTGCCATGGGAGAGGGAAGGCAGACTGTCTTCACAGTCGGGCTCCTTTGGGGGTTGCCCCACGGGTGCCAGCAGGTGGCATCTGCAGGGGTCACTTCGGAGGTGCCAGGAAGGGGCCACTGGCCACTGTCACCTGTGTCCCTGGGATGCGTGTACCTGGACGGCTTCCTTCCTGCCAGGACTTGCCAGCTGGGGCCCTGTCTGGGCTCTGCCCCTCCTGTGTTTGCAGAGATTGTGTGCTGGGCCTGTGGGTCTGAACAGCAGGGTGGGGCAGAAGCCCAGTGGCCCTGCTGTCCGTCCCTCTCCCCTTGCTGCAGATCCCTGGCTGGTCCAGGGTGTGCTTGGCTGTGTGTGCAGCCTTGCTCTGGACGCGTTTTCCTTGACCACTGGGCACAATTGGTGCTTGCGCCTGAGTGTTTGGCGACTTAAGGTTCAACAGCTCACACTCGGATGTGCTCCCTGGACAAGTCAGTTCCTGACCCCGGTTCCCCTGGGCAGTCACAGGTTGAGGCCCCCAGCAGGGCACAGGTGGACAGTGGCCTCACTGCCCTGACCAGGCCTCCTCGGTCACTGGCCCTGCTGCCTTAGCTGAGCTGGAACCAACCCAAGGCTATTCCCTTTGGCCTGGCTCTTGTCCCCAGAGTGGGACATGGTGCTGTTCAGTTCCCTGGGCATGCCCGTGTGATGGAGGCTGCCGGATTGCTACAGATCTGGCTCTGGGATGAGGATGCAGGGGCTGGGTCTAGGAGAGAGGGCAAGAGACCTCTAGATGCCCGGCCCGTTGCCATGGGGAGGGCCCAAGAGTCACCCAGGCCAAGCTCAGCTTTGAGGACACAGAGTGAAGGTGGGAGAGCTGCGGCTGTGCTCGGCTTCTGGCTTAGCACACATTAAACTACTGGAGACATGGGAGTGGGTTCTTGGTTCTTGCTTTAATAAAAATGAAAACTAAAGCACAAATTTACAGAAATAAAAGTTTGAGTTGGAAAGTTAGAGGGAAGGTAGGTATCTCAGTCACTTTTCACATTGCCAGGACAAAATACTTGACACTTACAAGTTGAAGGAAGAAAAGTTTATTGTAATTCAGTGCAGAGGTCTCAGTCCATAGTTGGCTGGCTCCAAGGCAGGGTGGCCTGGCAGAGGGGCATCACAGAGCAGAAACAGTCCATGGCAGGGCAGGCAGGAGGCAGCGGCGGCAGCAGCAGCAGCAGCAGTGAGCGTCCTTCTCCCTTTAATCCCATCCAGGCTCCAACCCTTTTGGGTGGAGCCACCAACACCCAGGCTGGGCCTTCCCATTATCCACACCCAGAACCATACTAATTCTCATCAGTGGACTTAATCCCAATGCCACACACCCTAGATCCAGCCAGCTCTGAAAAGCCCCACCTATGAGTGCAGGAGGCTTTGGGGACAGCTAGACAGCCCTGACACAGTTTGGAGCAGAAATGGGCTGTAAGTCCCTGGCTGGCTCGAGTGGCCCATGTTGTTAGGGAACCGACCATGTTGCAGCATCCGGAAGGTGCCAGTCCAGATGCTGGAGACTACACCTGAAGCAGCAGGCCCTCTGCCTGTGAGTGTCCACTGTCTGGGGCCTGCTGAGGTGGCCCATGCTCCTCACTGACCAGCGACCTGCCCACCCCAGTCCAGAGGGCTATGCTGCAGACAGTGGCACAGGGGGTGACATCAGGAATCGAGAGCCATGGGCATCCTAGATTTAAACATCTTTTGGAAAGGTCATTGTGGGCTGGGTGAAGTGGCAGATGCTGTCATCCCAGCATTTGGGAGGCTGAGGTAGGAAGATTGCTGCGAGTTTGAGGTTGGCTTGGGCTACATAGTGAGTTCAAGGCCAGTGTGAACTACAAACAACCTGTGTCCAAACAAACAACCCCCTGAAAGCTAGAGTGGAAAGAAGCAGCACGCTCTGACAGGAGGACACATGGGCACCGTGCATCCTGGTCTTGAATGTTAACGAGGGTGTGTGTGGTTGGTGGTGTTCTCGCTGCTTCCTGTGGCCATGAGCCTGGGTCCCCAGAGTGGAACTGGCCCTGCTGTGCTTGGGTCTGGAGGCCGGGTGCTTGGGTTGCTTCCTCACTTGGTCATCCTTTCTCTGGCCGCTGGTGCCCTGGTCCTTCCGTGCCCAGCCACACCAGGCCCCATCCCTTCAGGGTGGGGTGCAGACTCGGACCTCAGTGCTGACCTCTCTCTCTCTCCCCCCAGGGCGGGAGCAGTTCCACGGCCTGGGCTCCATGTACTGCCGGGGGGCGGCTGCTGTCATCCTCACATACGATGTGACGCACCTGCAGAGCCTGGTGGAGCTGGAGGACAGGTTCCTAGGCCTGACTGACTCTGCCAACAAGGACTGCCTGTTCGTCATCGTGGGCAACAAGGTGGACCTCACGGAGGAGGCTGGGGAGGGCGATGCGCACGGCCTGGGGCAGGCAGGTGGCGCCCGTGCCTGTCCCCGGGTGCCCAAGCAGGTGTTGCGGGAGGACGCGGTGGCCCTGTACAAGAAGATCCTCAGGTACAAGATGCTGGACGAGAAGGATGCACCAGCCGCCGAGCACATGTGCTTTGAGACCAGTGCCAAGACCGGGCACAATGTGGATCTGCTGTTCGAGGCCGTGTTTGACATGGTGGTGCCCATGGTCTTGCAGCAGAAGGCGGAGGAGCCGGTGGAGACCGTGGACCTCACGGGCCACAAGCCCCCCAAACAGGCCAGACCTCGGTGCTGCTCCTGAGCCGCCGAGGGCTCCCCGAGAGGGGTACGGGGAATTGGGGGTCAGCCAAACAACGCACTGAGGAGGATGGTGGAGAGGGGTGACCGCAGGTCAGCAATGGCCACTGTGCGTGGACGACACCCACGCTCCCCATCCCGGGCCCTGTGCACCCCGGCCCCACTGTGACTCTTGTCCTTGCACCGTGAAGCCTGTGGTCGGGCGCTGTGTGGCACCTGCCTGCACCGCGTGGTCACCGAGCCGCTTACCTCTGTTGGCTGCTGCTGTCCTCACACGTTTCTCCACAGCGACGCTTCCCAGGCCTCCCCGCACTTGGCGTCTAGAGTAATGGATCTCCACGTCTGTTTGTACAGTTGGGAATGATTCTTATATTGGTGGAAGCAGTGTGGGCCATATGTAGTATTAAAATTGATTGTGGGCAAAGCGTTGGCGGTAGGTCTGCTGGTTTGCACCCAAAGAGACATTGGTGTCTTTCTTTACAGCTACAGAAGGAGAAAAGGTGTCAGAGGACGTTATTCTTGCAGTTCATGTTTGTTTTGTTTTGTTTCTGGTACCGGGGCTGAACTCAGGACCTTTCACTTGCGAGGCAGGCGGCGGGACCACTGAGCTAAATCCCCGGCCTCACGTTTGAAGGCAGGGAAGGACTGGAAGAATTCCTCTGCTTCCCTTCCTCTCTCCCTCCTTTCCTTGTTCCCGCCTTCCTTCCTCTCTTTCATTTTTGTATGGGAATTGAACCCAGGGCCTTTGCACTGAGCTGCATCCTCAGCCTCTTTAATTGTTTTTTTTTGTACTGGGGATTGAACTTGGGACCTTGCGCTTGGGGGCACCACTGAGCTAAATCTCCAGCCCTAAACTTTTTTATTTTGAGATAGGGTCTCGCTAAGTTGCTAAATTTCCCAGCCTGGGCTCGAACTTGCAGTCCTTCAGAGTGCTGGGACTACAGGTATGTGCATTTCAGTATTTCTTCTCAGATATTTTCTGATTGATTTACCATCTGCCTGAGCATGCCCAGTTTGTGTTCTTGGCCGGCTGCACGCCTGGCAGCTGGAGTGCACGAATGACGTCAGTTCCACTTCCACATTCCACCTGTATTTGTTGTTTGGGAAATGCCGTCACTGCGGGGCCCTGTGAGCCAGTTCCCTGGGCAGCTGGCACGGCAGTTCCTGGTCCCCCTGCCTCAGCCTGGTCCTGTGTGCCCTGGGGTGAGTGCTGATCATTGGTAGATGCTGCAGCCCACCTGTGCCACTCCCAGGGCCGGCGTCCTGCCCCGAGAGGAGTCCAGGTGGACTCGACCCAGCTGGGCTCCTCGCTGGCCTCCCAGGAAGCTGTGGCCCTTGGCAGTGTGCCTTCTGCCAGGTCATCCTGCCCCCAAGATTGCACTGACTCTGCCTCTCCTGCGAGTGCATCCTTGCACACGGGTGCACACACGTACCCCAGGCTCCAAGGGGTCCTTGGACAGAAAGCACTTGCAAGCTTTCCCACACCCTCGCAGCACTCGCTTCAGGGTTTTGGGGATGCCGCAGCCCGGCCTGGTAAGCGGGACAGGACAACACTGTGCTTGTGACTGGTCTTTCTGGTTCAACTGAGTGGGGCTGGGCTCCTCTGCAGTGCACGTCCTGGGTCCCTGCATCCCTGACTGGGCAGAGCCAGGAGGCAGAGGGCAGGGGCAGTGAGCATGTCCCTCCGTGCTCCTGGGGGACCGTGGACGTCAAGCCCAGGGACCTGGACCCTGGCCAGCATGGCTGGCTTGCTGGGATTGCTTCCATGGTGCGGGGAGAGCCCAGGGCCTTGCCACGCCAGGGAAGCCTCTGCCTCGGAGCAGGTTCCGGCCCTCTCCAAGTTTCGAGACAGGGTCACACCAAGTCCCCAGGTTGCCCAGGCTGCCCTGAAACCTGCTACTCTCTTGCCTCAGCCTCCGGAGTACCTGGGTTACAGGCGTGCGTCGCCCTGCTCGGTTGTCCCGCATGGTGTTCAGTGCAGACGGCCCTGCTCGCTGGGTCCTCTCCCTCCTGCCTGCCCCGGACTCCCTGGTCCTCCATAGGCCTTCGAGCAGGCGGCCCTGCCCATGGCGCCCTGCAGATCTGTCCCTTGCCTTCCCTTTGGATTTGCCAAGCCCACTGCCTGGCCCTTGGCAGGATGAGGAACCGAGGCCACAGAGCCTCTGAGGACCGGTTTGTCAGGCTGGGGTGAGACCACGCAGGCTTCCTTGGATTCCCCCCGCCCTTCAGGCCCTGCCCTCCCTGTCTTGCCCCGGACTGAGCCGTGCCTGCCTCCTCGGGCACCACCACCTCAGCGACGCCTGCTTCCCCTTCCCCTGGGCCTCTCCCGTGCTGGGCTCTGGCCCACCCAGCGTCCCACAGGAGCCCTGTCCCTGTGCTCCTGGGACCAGGCCCGCCCCATGCTCGCCCACCCCAAGGAGCAGAAGGGGCAGCACTTATTTCTCTATGTGGGTTGTTTTTCTCGGCATCACTTTAAGAGGAGATTGATTGGGCCGGGGATTTAACTCAGTGGTTCCACCTCCTGCCTCGCAAGCACCAGGTTCTGCGTTGGATCCCTGGTACCAAGAAGAAAAGATGACATTGGTTTTCAAAGGGTTGAATAAACCCTGTGAGGGGGCCCTAAGGGTCCGGGAGGGAGGCCCCCGCGGCCTCGGTCCCCTTCTGTGACACCCATCCGAGGGGTGTTTCCTGCACTCCGGAGTGAACGTCCTGGGAAGTGAGCCACAGCGCCCTTGTGGGGTCAGGTTGGAAACACAGCTCGGTGCCTGCGAGCCTTGTGCATCCGCAGGGCGGGCAGCGGAGTTTGCAAGATCTCAAAGAGCACCTGAGAAAATGATGGCAGCCAACACCTGGGGCTTAGACGTGTTTAAAACCAACTTTTATTTTAAGGCTGTTACACAGGATGGGCAGAGGGGGGTGGCTGGCTGCAGGGAACGGGGTGGGGGACCAGATCCATGCAGGCCACGTTTCCCCTGGCAGGTGTGTCAGGCGTGGGCCTGTGAAGTGTGGACTCTGGTGCACCTGCGAGAGCACAGGGCTGCCCTTGCCGCCCAGGACACAGCTCAGCCACCACCGCAGGGCCCTGGGGGACCCGGGACAGCAAGTCTGCAGTCAGCCAGCCAGAGGTGGAGGTCACAGGAGCCGCAGCGCGGGGGCCTGTGCCGGCGTGGTTGTCCATGCGGGCCAGGCGTCCCGCTCCGAGGCTGGGGTTACTCATTTGGGATGGGAGGGCAGGGCCAGGCCGGCGTCCGAGGTAGGGGCAGCACCACGCCGGCGGCCCGCAGCTCACAAGTTCTTCATGCACACCTGGCAGCGGCTGATGTGCGTGCGGATGAGGCCGGCCTTGAGCGTGTCGGCCGACGGTGTGCCCTGGAAGCTGGTGTCGGGGATGGTGGTCAGCCAGAAGCTGTACTTGTTGGCGAAGTAGTGGCAGGTCCCGCGGCCCCCGTTGCACTCGATGAACGGCGTGGCACGGAAGTCCTCCAGACAGCTGCCCGGTGACATCAGGGACTGGCCGCCGCCTTCGTCCCCTGCTGCGGTGTGCTGTGGGCGGGTGCGCGGGTTAGGGGAGGCCCAGGCCGGCCAGCTGCAGGCTGCCACGCCTGTGCTCACAGTCTGCGCTGAGCCCTGAGGGTGTGGAGCGCAGCCAGGGTGCCGGCCGGAGGATGCTGAGGAGCAGGGCAGGCACGCAAACCCAGCCAGGGCATCACTTAGCAGACACCTGGGGAGCCGCGGACACAGGCCTCACGCCGGTATGGGTGACCACGTTTCCATAAAACCAGGACCTAAACAAACCTACCCGACCAGTCACTGGGAGAAAAATGCCTGGCTGAAGAGATGAAAATAAAAAATTAAAAAAACAAAGAAGCTAGCCCTGGTGGCACACTCTTGTAATCCCAGCACTCTGCGAGGCTGACGCAGGAGGGCTGCAAGTTCCAGCCCAGCCTGGCAGGTTAGGCTGTCTTGAAAATAGAAAGAATTTAAAAAGGGCTGGGGAGATAGCCCAGTCCCAGGCCGAGGGTTCAGTCTCCAGTACCATAAGACAAAAACAAAATGAACGTGTGGACCTGTGGCTAGCAAACGGAAAGGAAGCACCAAATGCTTGCTCCTTGGCCTTCCTCTGGAAGCGCTGCACAGGGAGGGGGAGGAGCCCTCCTAATGTTTTTTTCCTTGGAGGAAACAAAACAAAACAGAATAGAACAGTACATGATGATTTTTCTGTGACCGACAGGTGTTCCTCGTGTACTGAAAGTGCTTTTCCATTAGCGGTTAGCTGGGCAATCACTAGACCCCGAGGCTTCTGGATTTGCAAGACAGCCAATTTTGGGGCCACTGAAAAGTGGGGTGTGAGGCCTGGCCTCACCCTGGCGTTTATAGAAGGGCTGTCTGGGCTGGGGCGGCTGCGGGAACCCCAACCAGGACCAGGGCACCTGGCTCAGCTGCAGGTGGAGGCCGCTCTGAGGCTCACGGGGCTGGGGCCAGGTGACCTGGGCTGTGACTGGGGCAGTGCACCAGGAGCCTCGGGCAGCGGCCCCAGCCTGCCCCGCCCAGCTGCTGCCTGGCCGAGGAGGACCCTGAGGGGACGCCTTGCCAGGACTGGGCCAGGGCCTCATGGCGAGGAGCCCTGGGGGCTGTGACGTGGCGCACACACATGCACACACGTGCTCACGCACACACACACAGGTTACCCAGGAGCGATGTGAGACTGTCCTGTGTGAGTGGGTTAGGCCACGGGGCAAGCACTGGCCTGTGGTCTGAGGGTGTGCAGGTCCTAGAAGGGCTCTCGCCCGATCCCAGGACCTCAGCACTCCGCCTTCCTACCCTCGGCCTCTGGTGAAGCCCTTTGGCTGTGTATGCCAGGTAAGAGGAAAACTTCATCCGGATCACACTGCGTGCACAGGTCTGGTGGCAAATGAGCAGCGTTCTTCCGGACAAGACAGCTCCATCCCTGGACTCACGGCTCAGTGAACACTGGAAGCTGCATTCCAGCCTCCCTGTTCTGTGGGTCAGGTGCCTTTGTGCAGTGCACACCTGAAGGACTGTCCTGATTTTTCTTACAAGGGTTTATATGCTCCTTGTGACCCCAACCAACCAGAGAAAGTAGGTTTTTACCTGGGTCCACGCAGAGAGGGCAGAGAGAGAGAAGCACGTACCATGAGGAAGGAATACCCGATCCACAGGCTCCGCCAGCCGGCCGGGCAGTGGGGTATGGACACGTCCTGGCTGTGCACCGCGATGGCGGTGGCAGGCGCCTCGCACACGGAGCAGCGGCTGATGTAGGGCTTGATGTCGTCCTCGGCCACGGGCATCATGGGCAGCGGGGCGGTGGTGGACAGCCAGTAGGACTTGTCGTTGCGGCTGGCATAGTAGCAGACGTCGCCGGGGTTGCAGTAGAGGAAGGGCATGGTGCTGAAGCGTGCAAGGCAGGAGCCCGCCAGCCCTGCGGGAGGGAGCGGGAGGCGGTTAGGCCACTGAGGGCTCCTGGCTCCTCTTGTTGCAGTGGCAGGAACGGGACCCGGCTCTACCCTAGCTGCTCCCTGGCTTGGCTTCATTTGTATTGTGCAGGCCAGGTGGCTTCCTGCAGTCCTTGGGCCAGGCGGGGTCACCAGGCAGCCTTGGTGATGGAGGGGCACAGCTCTCTTGGGGGTTTCCTGTTTGGTTTTCAGAGACAGGTTCTCGCTGTGTAGTCCAGGCTGGGCTTGAACTAGCGGCGCTCCTCCTGCCTCAGCCTCCCAAGTGCTGGGATCACAGGTGTGCACCACCACACCTGGTTTTTCTTGGGGGTTCTTAGCAGCCCCAGCCCCGAGAAGCCCATGGTGGATCCCAATCGAGAGCCTTGCTAACCTTTTTTCAAACTCAGGTCCTTGTGCTTGAGCAGCAGGCGGTGAAACCACTGAGCTAAATCCCCGGCCCGGCCTTGCTAACCTTGTGATGCCCTGGAGCCCACCTGGGCCAGGGCCCCCGTTGACTTGGGGCAGAGATGGGCTTTAAGGGCCGGAGAAACTGGCGGTTTCCCTTTCCACACAGCCAGGAGCTGGGTGTGGTGGTAACACCTGTCATCCCAGAATTTGGGAGGCTGTCCAAGGCCAGCCTGGGCTATACAGTGAGAACTTGTCTCTAAAAAGCTGAAAAAGGAGGGGAAGGAGCTGGTGGCCCCCAGTGGCTGCAGCCTCACAGGAGCCCGTGGGCATTGGCACCAGGTCGGAGCAGGGCCCTATGGGGCTGCCAGACTTCAGGGTGCAGCCCTTCCGCCTCCAGGGCCCTCAGCCATTGGCCCCTGGGTGTGGTGGCCCTGGGGGCCAGGCGGAGACAGGGGTGCCTACCGAGGTCCTGATTGTGGGCCTTCTCCTGGCCCTCGAAGTACAGCAGGCTGTAGCCGCTCCACAGCTTGTTCATGCCCACTGGGCACATGGGCTCCTGGTCCGCCTGGCTGTGCTTCACCAGCAGGTAGCCGATGCTCACGCTGCGGCCGGGCATGCCGGGCAGCCCTGGGCTCCCTGGGCGGCCGGGCTCCCCTAGGGCCGGGACAAAGCACTGCTCAGCTGCCATGGCTTCGGGCAGCTTGAGGGCCCCCGGGCTGGTGGCTCTTCGCTCGCCCTGGGGCAGGGTCCACCATCAGGGGAGAAGGCACCGCCCATGACTGCCAGCAGGGCCCAAGCTGCCCCGGAGCGCCGCAGGATGCCCAGGGTGCCTGGCACAACTGCCCCCCAAGCTGGAAATCGGTGTCCGAGGGGCAACCCCGACGTCCCCAGGGCCCTGCACCTGCCCGTCTGGGTGTGGCTGGACCGCTCTGGTCTGTGCCCTGCCTGCGTCCCCTACACTGTCCACAACCACCGGCCGAGGCCTGGCCCAGTCCGCACGGTCTGGGTGCCAATGAAGAGGCCAGGGTTTGACTTTCTATGCAGCTGCTCCTGCCACTGACTCAGACTGGCCTGGGCTGACCAGATCTTAGGAACTGTCTGGCATGAATTCCTGCTGTTTCTGCCCTGTCCTGTGCTGTACACGGAAACACTGCACCACATCATCTCCTGCTAACTCAGGGGGTCTTGGGCTCCTGTCTGCCCCTCAGGGGCCCAGTGCTCACTCAGGTAAGAGGGGAGGCCGCGTGTCCCTGCAGGGCCCCAGCTTTCACCCTCCACGTGACCCCCTCTGCCCCCACCAGTGCCCGTCACCCACCTTCTTGGCCAATCGGGCCCTGGTGCCCCACGGCTCCTGGGTCTCCCCGGAACCCGGGCAGAGCAGACACACCACCTCGTCCCTGGGGCCCGGGCTTCCCTGGCACCCCGCGGAAACCTGTGAGACACGGGCTAAGTGAGGGCCGGGAGAGGTGGCCATGCTCAGGGTGGCGGGGCCGGCCCACGGGGGTGGAGGCGGACGTCCAGCCCTCCCCGGCCCCCACGGGCCTCCTACCTGGGTCTCCGGGGGGGCCCTGTGGCCCCATCTCTCCCTGCGCCCCGGGACGACCCCTCCTGCCCTCGGGACCCATGGCCCCCGGCGGGGCGGTGATCCGCTGGGGGATGCCGGCAATCCCTGGAGACCCCACTAAGCCGGGGGCTCCTGCAGGAAGAAGGGGCTGTGAGTGCCGGAAGAAGTGGCTGCTTGCACGCCAGGGAGGACACCGGCCCCGCCCAGGCTTGGCCACTCACCGGGGAATCCCTGGTCTCCTTTGGGCCCCTTGGGGCCCCTGTCGCCCACAGCTCCGGTGGATCCTGTGCTGCCCATGAGTCCGGGCTCACCCCTGGGCCCTGCAGGCAGAGGGACAAAGCTCAGGCAGGCGAATCCGGAGGGGCCTGCGGCTCCGCCCTGGTGCCAGCGCCACCCTTACCTTTCTCTCCTGGGACTCCGAACACACCCGGCCGGCCCTGGGGCCCTTGGTCCCCGATCCAGCCTTTGGTGCCCACGACTCCTGGGGCTCCCCCGCTCCCAGCGTCTCCTTTGCTTCCCTGCAGGGCGGCCGGCCCCGGGGGCCCCTGGGGGCCTTGGTAACCTGCGGGCGACAGTCACAGAGAGCAGAGTTCAGACAGGGCCCTGGGGCCCCACTGCCGCCCAGCTGGGACGTCACCGCTTAGGAGCCTTGGGTCCCTCAGTGACTTTATCTTTTTGTCAAAAGTTGTGGTGCCCTAAAGTTTTCCATGTCAGCCATCTTTAAGTCCGCAGTTCAGTGGCATTTAGCACATTCCACTGTTGGCAATCATCACACTGTCTCCAGACTTTATTCTGGTTTTTTTTTGAAACGTGGTCTTGCTATGCAGTCCAGGCTGGCCTTGAACTCACGGTGATCTTCCTGCCTCAGCCTCCTGAGTGCTGGGGTAGCAGGTGTGCACCACCACACCTGGCTGGATCTGCAGAACTTTTATTCATCCTAGAGACCGGGACCTAGACCAACACTCGGTCCACATTAAATACTAACCCTGGCATGCCCCCAGCCCGTCACTCTGGGGCATTCTACTTCCTGCTGTATGGATTTGACCACCCTAGGGACCTCACATGAGTGGAACCATGCAGTATTTGGTCTTCTGTGACTGCCTTATCTCCCTGAGCATCTTGTCCGCAGGGCCCATCTGTGTTGTAGTGAGTGTGTCAGTGCTTCCTCCCTTTTGAAGGCTGCATAATATTCCGCTGTATGTGACACATTTTAGCTCATTCCTGCATCTGTGGATGGACACTGGGGCTGCTTCCCTCCTCGGCTATGGTTGGGAAGTGTGAACTGAATCCAGCAGCTAAGTGAGGAGGAGGAGCCACTGCACGTTTCTGTCCTACACGAGTCACGGACACATCCCATGCTGGGCTTCCTGGGGACCGAGTTGGGCAGCGAAGGAACCACAGGGGACGCGTAGTGACACCGTGGGGCCGGAAGTGCATTCCACCCGGTCAGAGGGCCACTGCCAGCTTGGCCAAGACCCTGCACAGCCTCATCCGCCGCTCACCTTTCAGGCCGAAGATCCCCGGTGACCCCACGTCGCCCGGCAGCCCTGAGATGTTGGAGGGGGGGCTGATGCCAGGGAAGCCTTGCATCCCGGGTCTCCCGGCTGGGCCTCGCTCCCCTGGTGGATGGAGGGCGGTGCTTAGTGCCAGCACCCGCATTTCCACCTCCCAGGCCCAGGGTCGCCCAGGGGGAGCGACCTGGGGTGACCTCTGGCAGCGCCTTCCACCCGGGGACACCGGCCTGCAGGCCGAGGGGCCTGCTGGGGTTGTCCTCACGGCACTGCTCTTGCCAGGGCCCCGTAACCAGGCTCAGGGACCGCGTCACCCAGACCCTGCCCCTGCTGCCGTGGTCGCACTGTCACTGCCGCCCTCTCTCTGGCTGCCCCCTCAGACCCTGGGCGCGGAGGTGGAGGTGGTTTAGAGGGGGACAGTGAGCGACCCTGGACACCAGCCCCGCACACGCAGCCCGGGACACGGTCTCACCTGGGGCTCCCTGCTCCCCCTTCTGTCCAGGGGCGCCCGTGGAGCCTGGGAAGGTGTTGGGCTCTCCGGGGTCGCCCCTGTCCCCAGAGGGGCCGGGGAAGCCTGGGTCTCCGGGCATGTCAGCGCCTGCAGGGACAGTAACCGTGGTGACTTACTGGTGTGGGGACTCAGCTGCCTCGGCTTGGGAAGCGGCAATGCCCGGACTCATCCAAGGGGAGCGAGGGCCCCCAGAGGGGCACATGCGTGGAAGCAGTGGCGCGAGCCGATGTCCCAGGCTGCGCCGTGCCGGGCTCGGTGGCTTTTGAGAACCCAGCGCGCTGGGGCCTTCCCTGCCCAAGGCTGGTCTTGGACAACTTCCTCCACGCACCGCGGAACCGGAAGTGCCCTTCCGAGGGCCAGCGCGCGTGAATTTGCGCACACCACACGTGTGTGAGGTGAGTGAGCGTTGGGCCACAGCAGCATCTGGAGCGCGTGTGAATAACAGCAGCAGGGTTTGGGTGTGTTTTTCTCCTGCTAAAGGTATCTGAGCTACTCTGCATGAAGAAGCCCTGAGGCACTGGTAGGGAAGTGGAGGCAGCTGAGACCGTGACGGTGGCCAGCTCAATCAGAGGCAGCTCAGTGTCGCAGGGTTTCTCCTCCATGAGAAACCCAAAGTGTAAATAAAGAGCAGAACAGCCAAGATGCGTCATGTGAAGGTACAAGTTCCCAACGAGAAATGCCAATGTACTGTATACCTAAAATGCACCAGTGGAAGAATTAAAAAAAACATAAAGAGCAAAACAAAAGACAGGGTAGT